CCCCAAAACCCCAAAACCCCAAAACCCCATACAGATTTGATTTATTACTTTTGCTTAATTCTAGGAAAGGAAAATTAAAATATTCAAATTTAAACTGAAAATGGAAAATTTAAGGAGGAAAGCACAATTTGACTAGACATATTCAATGATGAGTTTATTGCCAGCATAAAGGATGAAAACAAGTCAATAGCCTATGACCGGACCTAGACAGCAGGGAAACTCAAATTTGGATTCATAAAGTAATATTTGAATGGTAATGCTTAACAGAAATTTATAACCTATCAAATGATAAATTCAAAAGAGCAGGTCATTTCACTATTTGTAAACCTACTTAATTGGAAAAACTCAAAGAATAAAATAAGGAAAATATAGAACTTCAACAATAAAAGATATAAAAGTATGTTTCATCACTAAATTATAATATCCTATAGTGAACAAATGTAAAAGCTCAATAAAATCGAAAAGCTTAATGAAGAATTCGCAAAAATTTAGCAGAAAAGAAATTCAATTCAACAAGTTGAGAGTTATTAGTTCGCAAACTTAGAAATATTAAAGAGTAATATGTTCATGTAAAACTAGAACGCAGAAGAGATATTAGAAGAAATTTAAGATCTGATGCAGCAAAGAGATTTAGAAGTAAATCAAATCAAGGAAAGACTCGATGATGAAAAAAAGTTATTTGCTTTGCATGAAAATAGTGGTGCGTAATTAGAAGCTCAAATCTCAAGCTTGAAAGAAGAAGTTTCAGAAATCAACTATTAGAACAGCTTTAATATCAATGAAATCACAAACTTAAATCAAAGAGTAATTGAGATGAGATCTCAGAGAGAATTTCTATTAAGTGATAACTAAAAATTACTTGAGGTAGACTATGGGTTCACTCAGAGGGTAAATGAATAGATTAGTGAGATCCAGAAATTATCCTTAATCGAGCAGGAAATACTGGCTCACTTTTGTAATGAAGAGTTTTTGAATCATTTAAGAGCTGAGACACCATTCAATATATTAGTCATTAGAGATATGAAGGTTTAAGAGCAATTGCAACTTCAAATGTTAAATAATGGATATAGAAACATATTTCTTGGAGTGTACTAGCAAAGTCTTGAAGTTGACAAAGTTTACTGCGATGATGCTACTCAATAGTTGTTTATAGACTGGACTGATAATATATAAATTGAGTAGAGCCTCTTGAATAGCCTCAAGCCTTGCATAGATTTTATATGTAGACCTTACGATGAAACTTTGTAGAAAAGCAAAAACGCCTCTAACAGAAAGTAACTGGTATTTCTAATAAACTAGGAATAAGAATAGTTCCTTGAAATTTGCAGACTATCTTTTGAATATTTGAACTAAAGAAAAGAAGTCGGTAAATTTTACATTTAAAACAGAAAAGAGGAACTTTAGTTTACTTAATTGCATGAATTCTTTGATGAGATAGTGTGTTAATTAAGTAAAATTCAGCAGCCTAACTTTATACTTGCCAGTTTTGAAACATACGATGATGAGCTTGAACCTATTCATCTACAAATTTTGAACATAATTACTTAAGAGGATCATCTATTTGAATACTTGCTTACTAAGATGCAACTATTATCAGCTTATCAACCTGGATAGACAAGAGCTAAGTATAAATAACAAAGAAAGCAGCTTATATAAACGTAAGTTTAAAATATTGCAAGCGGGAGTGGAAACAATGTCGTCTAGCATAATAGTAAAAATGACAAAAGTATTTTCCTTGAAATGAAGTACCAAGAATTCACACCTATTATTGATCTTGTTTGTAATGAGTAACCTATCACATTCCTGATAACAAATCTGGATAGTAACTCTAAACTGCTTTTGGAAAATTAGTATATGCAAGGATTATTGAAATTTATAAAGCAATTCTCACAAATTAAAGTTGCTTCATCTAAAAGAGCAGTGAAATATTACTAACCAAAGAGTGAATTATGAATTATTAAATTTTTTTAATTTTCTAGATATCAATTCAATGTTTTGATTATGGGGTTTTGGGGTTTTGGGG